CTACTTGTACTCTATCTTCCTGCCAAATAAATAAATAAAATCTTTATATATCATAAACATGTTTGGGTATATCAAAATCTAATCAAGTCCCTAATGATTTATATTACTTTTTAAATTTTAAAAACAATGCTAAGGTGTACATTTTCTTTTTTTAAGATTTTATTTATTTACTTGACAGAAAGAGAGAGACAGTGAGAGGGAATACAAGCAGGGGGAGTGGCAGAGGGAGTAGTAGGCTTCCCACTGAGCAGGGAGCCAGATGCCAGGATCGATCCTAGGACCCAAGGATCATGACCTGAGCCGAGGGCAGAGGCATAACAACTGAGCCACCCAGGCAGCCCTAAGATGCACATTCTTTGCACAAATGTGCAATCATTTACTTAAAATAAGTTCTTAGGAGTGCAAGTGCTAGGCATCAACATTTACGACACGAAATACCAAATTGCAATCTCTCCATCACCTTTACCTTGTAGCAATTAAAAAGCTCTCTGCAGGGGTGCCTGGGTGGCTCAGTAGGTTGGCACCTACCTTTGGCTCAGGTCATGATCCCACGGTCCTGTGATGGAGTCCCACATCGGGCTCCCTGCTCAGTGGGGAGTCTGCTTCTCCTTCTACCCGCTTCCCCCTGCTCATGATCTCTCTCTCAAATAAATAACATCTTAAAAAACAAAAAAACACCTCTCTGCACACAGTAGTTGCTGGTAACTGATGAATAATGAACAAAAGATGGTGTACATATAAGTCATTTATCCCTACTTATTACATAATGCCTTTCTGGACTGTGGAACAGATGTAAACTACTGGAAGCAACATGATGCAGTAGAAAGATTTTTCAAAGATGTGAACTGCAGGCCCAACTTTGTATACCCTCACATAAATCACTTTAATCTTGTTTCCTGATTAAGCTATCCTAATTTCTCAAGCTTATTGAGAAATTTCAATAAAAAAAGATAAGCAAAAAGATTCTGTAAAATCAATCCAAAGGAGTATATGGATATGTTTTATTAATCCAGTGCCCTAAATCAAGTGAAATTTGAAAGATGCTAGACTAATTTACCTCACAAACAGCATCAAACAAACCCTGCTGCTGTTCCTATTTTGATCTTACTCTCCAATTTCAGTAACCAAACTCCTATCCCTCTCCCTATACCTCAGTTTGCTGCCTCCTGGTTCCACTACAAAAGGAATGAGATCCCACTCTGACCTCCTAGTCCCTCCTATCTAGAATTCTATCCACTGCCTAATACCTCCTATCTTTCAAATGTGATCCCATCTTGTCTAGTTCTCTCTGACTTTTTCCCAATATCTATCTTCCTTGAATCTTGTAATCATGGCCAGGCTTTGGCTCATCTGAATACCAATTTTCAGTTAACAACATAAACAACAGGCAATACCAACACTCAAAATTTCTTCTTACCGGAGGAGACACCAAATTTTAACAAGCTCAGTAAACAAGTAAGCATGAACCAGAACAGATGTTTCTTAGTTCCAAACAACTATTTCTAGCTGTATTACCTACTTACCCCTTCAGAGACCTTATTATCTAATTAAATGGGAATACTGATCTCTTCTGAACATATCCAACCACATCTTTGCTCAAAGTCCTTTCTATATAGAGTACTCTGGTCTCTCGACTTACTTTTTCCAAACCCATTGGTACTTCCCTTAAGAATTTCTCTGGTTACCATACCTTGAGTGACCTCTGCCTCTGAATTCCCATAGCCCTCTGCTAAACACTTTTTATGGCACATATTGTTATTTATATTATATTACAGATCTAATTTCTTCCACATTAGATCTGTGGTGTCCCGTATGTAGCCAGCAGCCACATGCAGCAAGTGAGTACTTGTAATGTGGCTCATCCAAATTCTGTACTTCAGATTAGTATGAAAAAAGAACGCAAACTATGCCATTAAAATTTGAGTTGATTACACATTGAAACAGTTGGCTGGTGCCACTGCAGAGTTTAGCAGGCTTTTATTTGCAATACAGGATCTTATGAAGGGCTGAAATCAAGATGAAATCCACTCAACTAGCTATGCACCTTGCAAAGGTGCTATGTCTACTCAGGGGGAATAAGCCTATCGCTTCACTCAAAGATGCTGTCCCTTACCAAACTGTGAACTCTAGGAGTTCTATGTATCCAAAAAGGCATGACTTTATCTAATTTGCACAGGCATCATATAAGCTAGCAGCAGCCCCAAGATGGGGAACCATGTCTTACTCACGTTCTACCTGCCACATATTATTAAAAGTAGTTGAATGAATGAAGGATGAATACACAACTCTACTAGCCCTCTTCAGACACACCTCCTCTTACTATTGATGACTACATATAACACTTGATCTGGTTACAGAAAACTCTCACTAGTGCCTACCACAAATCAAAATCATTGCTTAGCCTCAAGTTTTTCTCTCCTAGCCATTATAGCACCAAATAAAAAATAATCATTATGCGGCATTTTTTTTCTTTCACAGCTTTATGCTCCCAAATAAGCATTTGATCATTCCCATTAGACTATGAAAATGCTATATATGCCTTTTTAAAAAAATCAGTCTAGAAACAAATAATGTAATATAAAAGAACCTATCATTCTTTCCAACCAACCTGATTGCATTTCTCTTCTTGCCTCAGAGTGCTTGACCTTGGAAGATTTCACAATTTCAGAGTGGCCCAAGTCTCCTGTGCTTAGTTTTCCTTTGGGACATGAGTCTGTACAATGCTGAATAATGCTTTTTTTCTCTTTTGTACTTTTTTGTGTAAATTCGTCTGTGTCTTTCTTGGGAATTGTTTTTGAATCTACCTTCTTAGATATGCATGACTTTTTCATTTTCTGGATTCTGTCAGAGTTATCTAAATCATTTTTATCTCCAGAATCCTTCTGATTAATTTTCTTGGTTTCTTTCTTTTTCTCCTCAACTATATTTTTTGATTCTATTTTGTTGTTAGTCTGGGGTTTTTTCTTCTTCATCTTCTTTTGGTTCAATGCTTTACCATCTTCATCAGATAGATCTGAATCAGAATCTGAAAGATCATAAAAACGTTTCAAGTCCTCTGTAGTGCTGTGGTTGATAGGGCGTCCTCTTTTATCCACAGCATAATTCAACTTGAACCTTTTGTCATGAAACATTGCTCGAAATCTCTTGTCAATTTTGACTTTTCGGTCCTTTTCTGGCATTTCCCAAAATCTTGGATCTTTTGTAACCCTCCTAAACCGCTGGTCACTCATTATTTCTTGTTTGGATGCCATTTTTAAATGTCTGACTGGACAAATGCTTCAAGAAATCAAATCCTAAGAAGTGAAACAAATATTACGATAATGAAGAATTAGTTAAAAAAAGATACTTAGGGAAAAAATGCTTATTCACAATATAGTCCAAGTTAAATATAAATAAAGGTAACACATCCAATTTCATTTCCCAAACTCATTCTGAGTCACATACAGAAAAGCAAAAACTATCAGAATATCCTCTTTTGATTATAGAGCATTTGGAGAAATAAATTTAAAACAAAACCAAGCAGAATTCCAGGGCTTTACAGAGGGAGACAAACGCTTACTAGCCAATTGCACTCACTTGGAATTTCTACATTTCTTTTTTTATACCTGTGTACCTGTTACAAGTTAAGAGCTAACGTAATCAAAAGTTTCCCAAGCCTCAGTTGATCCTATTTGTTTCTTCACATTCTGGTTCCACTCTTCCTGTTAGTCCCTACTTCATGCTACTACTCTGATCAGTCCTTAGTTGTACAAGGCTGGTCTCCTAACTAAATAGACTCAAATCAATTCAGATTCGGTTCACAAAACTCCCTCTTTAAATCCGACCATCCTTCAAAAACCTGGTAAATTTTTACCCTAATTATTAACAAACATCACTTCTCTCTATAATTTATTCTGTAAGGCCCAAGTGGGCTGATTCTCCCCAAACATATTATTTTTCGAGAGAGAGAGAGGGAGAGAGGAGAGAGGGAGAGAGAGAGAGATATTAGTATTTTTCCCCATCTCGATTAGATTTTTGCAGAGCTAAGAGTCAATGATTTTTTTTTTTTTAAGATTTTATCTATCCATTTGTCAGAGAGAGAGAGAGAGACAGCGCACAAGCAGGGAGAGCAGCAGGTAGAGGGAGACGCACGCTCCCCGCTAACAAGGGGCCCATGGGGAACTCGATCCCACGATCGTGGGATCACGACCGGAGCCGAAGGCAGACTCTTAACCGATGAGCCACCCAGGCATCCCAAGAGTTGTTGACTATTATGAACAAAAAGGAACTGATCAAACAGGGTAGCAATAGCAGTGCTTTGTTCTGAAAACAAGCCTTGAATTTTTCCTTAAAATTGAAAACAATTTTTATAAATCAAAAAAAGACACAGGTTTCAATAATGCACTTATACATGAAGCATTTAACCCTCTAAACAGTTAGGGACCGAGGTAGGTACCATCTCATCCAACTGTGAGTGGCAATGCATATAAATGTTTACAACAAAAGCATTCGATAAACGTCAGATATTCAGACAGAGACGGGTGACCTGACCTCACCTTCCGACGCCCACCTTCACTCTCCCCTCTAACCACCCTCTAAGGCGGAGAACACCACGGTGGTCCTATAACGGCGATTTCCTTCCCAAGCCCAAAGTTCAAGGCACAGCTACTGGGCTGAGGCCCCTCAACAGGACCCTGGGGAGGACCAAGAAGTCTGAAAAATGAGACTGGAATGGGAAAGAAAAAAGGCGCAACCCCTCATGAATCCAAAGAAGACCCTGTCAAAAACCGGTTCGGCACTCTCCACAGCCCATCTTCTTGAAATCCAAACCCACTCACCTCCTCCGAGCTCTCGCCGAGTCTCACGTGCGACCCACACCCACAATCCTCTGCGTGACGCTCCGCCGTGACGGCAAGAGAGCTCGGCCAAACTACCTCCCCTTTCCTTTCTGCGGCGATCTTCGGCGCAGGCGCGGGAGCCGCGGTGGCGCATGCGCAAGATAAGTGCGCCGGCAAGTGGCGTCTCCGCCAGACATGCTGCGCCTCGGCGGTCTCTGGGTCTTGAGACTGCGGTCTCCCGCGGCTGGGGTCCCAGCAAAGAACCTCGGCCTCAGGGAGGTCGCCTCCGGCGTTTCTTCCCCGGGCAGCACCTCGCCCAGAGCCCTAAATATCTTCGATCGGGATTTGAAGAGGAAACAGAAAAACTGGGCGGCCCGTCAGCCTGAGCCGATGAAGTTCGACTACCTCAAGGAGGAGGTAAGTCCGCGGGGCAGTGGGAGAGGACGGCCCCTAGCTTTGGCGCCGGATGAGGGGCTCCGGCCAGGCCCCAGCCGACCCCACCTGAGCCCACTTCGCCCCATCTCGCCGGATGACCTTGAGCAGCTGCCCTGCCTATCTGAGCGTCTACTGTAATCACTGAGGGGGTGGGTGAGGATATTTGTACGTTGCTATTCATTCATCCATTCACTCACTCACAGCAAATATTGCTTGAGTTACAGCTCTGTCATGGGCAGAATAAGACCGCTACCTTCAGGAGATTTCATTCTTGTGGGCGTCGGTCAACAAGAAATGTAATTTCAGCCAAAGAAGTAAGGTGAGGTGCTTAAGTGAAGTAGTATAATGACTGCGATGGTCAGAGAAGGCCGCTCAGGCAGACGAATGATGAGGAATTAGGCAAGCTAAGATCTGGAGGGAATAGCCTTATAAGCAAAGGGAAGAAGAGTTTCTGAGGCGGAAAGGACCTTATTGAGGTCTCTACTGAAGCTTCGGTGAAGGAGAGAGTGGGAGAGGAGGTTAAGGAGGGCGCGGGTTATTAGGGCAGTAGAAGATAGGAACTGTGGATTTTCTCGTTCCACTGAACTGCCCAATCAGTATGATAATCACTGGCCACATGTGGCTGTTGAGTGCTTGAAATATAGCTAGTCCAATTGAGATGCAATGCATCTGTAAAATGCTCCGGATTTCAGTATCTTAGTGTGAAAAAAGGATACAAAATATTTCATTAGTAGATTTTTAAAAATCTTGAGTACATGTTGAAATTGTAGTTTTGAGGGGCGCCTGGGTGGCTCAGTGGGTTAAGCCTCTGCCTTCGCCTCATGTCATGATCTCAGGGTCCTGGGATCAAGCCCCGGAACGTGCTATCTGCTTAGCAGGTAACCTGCTTCCCCCTCTCTCTGCCTGCCTCTCTGCCTACTTGTGATCCCTCTCTGTGTCAAATAAATAAAATATTTTTTTAAAAAAGAAATGGTAATTTTGATATATTGTGTTAAGTAAAATATGTGAAAAATAATTTCTCCTGTTCCTTTTTACTTTTTAAAAGTGGCTATTAGAAAATTTAAAATGACATATATTGTTCTCATTGTTTTTCTGTTGGTCAGCCCTGCTCTAGAGGAATGTGAACCTGTTGAATGGTTTTTTGGTTTTGGTTTTGGGGGTGGGGGTGGAAAATCAACCCTGGGGCCTCATCTCATAACCCTGAGATCATTACTGGAGCCAAAAATCAAGAGTCAGTCTTTTAACCGACTAAACCATCCAGGCACTCCTAGCCTGTTGAGCACCTGGATGTCTTTAAGTAGTGGGATGATAGGATCTGGTTTATGTTTTAGGAAAATTAATTAAGATAAATTAAGATCTCTGATTTGTACTCGTTTGAAAGATCTCTTCCTCTGCCCAAGTGGACTAGAAACTGAGGGTTTGTACTCTCTGGACACACAGCACCAACTTCAGGCCCAAGTGAATGTTTCTTTGGGAATGAATCCAAAGTGATGTTAAGTGTAGTGAACTCTTAAAAGTCAAAGCAAGAAACAGGTTTTGAGCTCCTTTGGACAGAACTCTGTGCAAGTTTGGCCTGACCAGGTGATTGTGTTGGTTCTTAGGGCTTATAATGACATGTACTTAGAAGATGTATATTTCTAACCACTCTTCTCCAAGCAAAGTGTGTAGATTATGACTTGACTGAGGCCTTATCGATCTGTAGGACTAGAATAAATGAGGTGAAGTATACGAATGTTCTTTTTGTAATAAACAAGTTATTCATAATAAGAATGATATACAAAGTAGACTCCTCCAGGGAAAGACTTCTGGTATACCTCTTTCCCTTCCCCTTCTTTCCCCCCAAAGCAAATACACATATATTCTGAACTTCCAAGTCCTAATAGAAGCTCTGGGGTGTTTATGAAGGAATAGTGGAATGTGAAGAATCTTGGGCTCTCACATCTTTATTCCTGACAGATGAAGCTAGCCTGGCAAAAGGAAGCACTTTCCTTATGGCCTCTTTTAGATTGGGATGGGACTAGGAAGAATAGCATGAAGCGCAGTTTCTTCAGATCTGACTGACTTTCTAATTTGCACATGTTCCTTGGAAAAGTTGTTTACTTGTTTAGTAGTTTCACAGAATTTCCTATGAGTCTTCAAATAATAGAGTTTTTAAGTGATCATTTATACACTGATCTGTAATAAACCCTAGCTAACAATATTTTTTCACTTTCATATACTTCATGCTAATATCTCTGGACGATAATGTATCTGTTATGCTCCTGTTGCTTCTTATCCTTATAATCTTATATAGAACATAGAATGTAAAGGCCAACATAATACATACATATTCATGGATATTTAGTCTTGGATTCATTAAATGGACTTCTGAAGTAATTCACTTCAGTTTGTTTCCTGGGATAGTATAATTTATTGTGTTTATAATTTATGGTCAGATTTATATATTTGTGGTCAAATTGAAAATGAGATAGTGAGAAGTACTTAATAATATGTAGAAACATAAGTAACCTGTGGATTATTGAATACTGAAAAAGTGTTGCTCCTTTGTTAAACATATTCAACTTGTATACATCATTGCTGCTTGTAATCCTTCAGGTTGGAAGTCGGATCGCAGACCGTGTGTATGACATAGCCAGGTATGTGATGATTATCATAATAAAATGCAATTAACTTTTGGCTGAAGATTCAAGAGATTGAATGTTGAGAGCTTAATGTTTTGAATGGCAGAATCTGAAGGAATTTATTACCAGGATTAGTGATTTTAATCACTCTTAAATCCCCCCCCCCTTTTTTTTTTAAATTTGGGAGAGTAAGAAAGAAAGCAGGAGCACGGGAAAAGGAAGAAGCAGACTCCCAACTGAGCAGGGAGACTGATGTGGGGCTTAATCCCAAGACCCTGAGATCATGACCTGTGCCAAATGCAGATGCTTAACTGACTGAGCCACCCAGGCGCCCCAGATCGCTCCTTTTTTATGTCTGGAGAGCAGGTGTTTTTTTTTTTCCCCCTTGTTGCAAAAAAATAATAATAATAATAAAAAGAATAGAAGCACAACTCATAGCTTCTTTATGAGCTTGAATGACTGATTCAGTTTCATTTGGCTAAAAGCCAGTAATGAAAACATTGCTACAAAAATGAAGATGAAAATTGACCACCTGTGAATTTTTAAGATTTAATAAACCTAGCGTTAAGAATTTAACTACAATTAACAACAGAATCTTTGACTAAGAGAAGGAAAGAGTCTACCTAGATTCATTCCCCACTCGGGTTATATGAGACTTTGGCCATTTTATCTTGAGTACTGTTAATGGCAGTAGGTTTCTATGACAATTATATAGTGGCAGATTTGAGAACACTTTGATGAAGTATTAAAACCATGGGTGCCTGGATGGCTCAGTGGGTTAAGCCTCTGCCTTCAGCTCAGGTCACGATCTCGGTGTCAAGGGATCGAGTCCTGCTCCGGGCTCTCTGCTCGGCGTGGAGCCTGCTTTCTCCTCTCTCTCTCTCTCTCTGCCTGCCTCTCTGCCTACTTGTGATCTCTCTCTGTCAAATAGAAAAAAAAAAATTATTAAAAAAATAAAACCTTGATTAATTCATTGCTCTGTATTAGGCATAACAAAAATTTTACAAATTCAAGTTTATAGATGTGTGGCAGGAACCACATAAATAATAGTTAAATAATGTCTTTACTGTAGAATTGTTCTATGATGTTAGCAAATCACTTTTTTGTGCTCTTTTTATTCTAAAGACATCCATTAAATTAGACCAACATGGGATGAATTTATTACATTTGTTTATAAAAAGGGGAATTTTTGTTTAAAAATCAAAAACTCAAGTCATTTTTTAGAGATATTCTTGCTACTTAAAAGAGTTTAGGGATGAATTAATTTCATATGGTAAAAAATGCTTGTTACAGATAATCACCCCCATTTCATCTGTTTTATTAGTTCCATTATTTTAAGGATCTGAAACAAATAGCTAGTTCTCTGTACTGCAGTCATTTGCCTGGATTTTAGACCATTGATTAAAAATGAAACAAATTTTCCAAATTAGTATGGATTTTGCAGTCTTTTATGTCATAGTACTGAGCAAAACATAGATCTACAGAGAGACTTGGGATTGTGGCTAAAAGCATGTTTTAATCTAACATTAACTCTTTAGAACTAAATTATTAAAAATACAGTCTAAAAAAATACCAGTGTAAATGCCCTTGCACTAACGTTCTATTACTACAAAGTATAGTTTATATTGTCCACACTGATCTTTCGTTGATTCTTAAAAAACTTAACCCCACAGATAATTAAGTGTCTTCTTTGTGGTATCTGAAGTCCATTTAATTACTTTTATAAACTGGGGGCTCCTGGGTGGCTCAGCAGGTTAAGTGTCTGCCTTTGGCTCAGGTCATGATCCCAGGGTCCTGGGATTAGGCTTCCTGCTCAGTGGGGAATCTGCATCCTCCTGTCCCCCAACCATGTGCACACGGACACAAACTCTCTGTCTCATGGATAAATAAATCTTTTTAAAAAACTGTTATAATCTGTGATAATAATAACTCATAACCAACTTTTGTTGAGCATTTGTACTATGCTAGATACTTTAAATGCACCATTTCATAAAATTCTCTTGAGGGAGGGAGTAACTTTTTCATTTTATAGATGGGGAAACATTCAGTAAGATTAAATCACTTGTCCATGGTCACAGAGCCAGTAAATTGCAGGCCCAGAATTCTAAATCTTGTCTTTCCAATCCCAAAGCTTGTATACTTTTATCATGTCATACTGCCTGTGTTCACAGTCAAGATAGAGGGCATTATGTAAGTAAATGGTTCTTTCTCACCACCAGTTCTCTGGTGTTCTATATTTTTGACATAAGTTTTTAACAGAAATTGAAAAAGGACTCCTAATTTTGGTTCCAGTAGAAAAAATGTTATTAGTGGATAAAACTTTTAAGTTTTCTTGTCAATGAAATTGGCTTACAATTAGATGTATGAACTGGTTTTGTATATACTTAGAGGAGGCAATGTAGTATGGGAGATAATAATTCTCGTTCAGCACAGTGAGATACCTCCTCACACCAGTCAGAATAGCTAAAATTAACCAGTCAGGAAACAATAGATGTTGTTGAGGATGCAGAGGAAGGGGAGCCCTCCTTCACTGTTGGTGGGATTGCAAGCTGGTGCAGCCACTCTGGAAAACAGTATGGAGGTTCCTCAAAAAATTGAAAACAGAGCTACCCTATGACCCAGCAATCACACCACTGGGTATTTACACTAAAGATACAAATGTAGTGATCCGAAGGGGTCCGTGCACCCCAATGTTTATAGCAGCAATGTCCACAATAGCCAAACTATGGAAAGAACCTAGATGTCAATCAACAGATGAATGGATAAAGAAGATGTGGTATACACACACACGCGCGCACACACACACACACACACACACACACACACACACAAAATGAAATACTATGCAGCCATCAAAAAACCCAAAATCTTGTCATTTGTAACAGCATGGATGGAACTAGAAGGTATTTTTTTTTTAAAGATTTTATTTATTTATTTGACAGAGAGAGATCACAAGCAGGCAGAGAGGCAGGCAGAGAGAGAGGAGGAAGCAGGCTCCTTGCTGAGCAGAGAGCCCGACTTGGGGCTTGATCCCAGGACCCTGAGATCATGACCTGAGCTGAAGGCAGCGGCTTAACCCACTAAGCCACCCAGGTGCCCCAGGAATTAGAAGGTATTATACTGAGTGAAATAAGTCAATCAGAGAAAGACAACTATTGTATGATCTCTCTGATATGAGGAATTTGAGAGACAGGAAGGGGGTTGTGGGAGATAGGGAGGGAAAAAATGAAACAAGATGGGACCAGGGAGGGAGATAAACCATAAGAGACTCAATCTCAAGAAACAAACTGAGGATTGCTGGGGGGGGGGCAGGGGGGGATAGGGTGGCTAAGTTATGGACATTGGGGAGGGTATGTGCTATGGGGAGTGCTGTGGATTGTGTAAGACTGATGATTGGCAGATCTGTACCCCTGGGGCTAATAATACATTATATGTAAAAAAAAAAATCCTGGTTCAGGATTCTGACCAACTGAATTCAAGTTCTGATTACTGCTTATTAGTTGAGTGACCTTGGGTTGACTTACTTTGAACACTTAGCATATTGCTTTGAACCTGCTATGATTTTAGTAAAAGTTACCTACTATTTAGTTGGTGTTTTGTTTTGTTTTTAGTTTAACATATTAGTGTTTCATGGTATTTTACATGATGATTTTTAAGTTATCTGCTGCCTCGACAAATTTGAGAAAAGGGATCATTAAGTTCCTGACAGCTACACTGATATTTTCATGTTAATTTATGTTAGCTTCTTTTCATTCTTTATTTGTGTAATTAAATTAAAATATCCCCACTAAATTTGTTCTTTGAATCCACATCATGGACCAACCTCATGGGAAGCCAGTTGACTGTGAGGTCCTGTGAATGTCTGGAACAGATAGACTTGCTCCTTCACTATGTTTTCTGGTAGAAACAGCTTATAAGGTGAGGCAGAAAAGGCAGATGGTGTAACTTTTTGAAAGTTGTGTTCATTAAAATGTTTTTACTTAAGAAAAATCAGTTTTAGTAATTGTTCTGTGGACTGTGTTATTACAGACAAAATATAACTTCTGTGTCTATTTTTTTAGAAATTTTTCCCTTGCTTTGGATGTTGGTTGTGGAAGAGGATACATAGCACAACATTTGAACAAGGTATATGTATTAAGTGACTTAATTTACCTTAAGAAATAAAATTGACTATTGTTAAAGAAAGTCTTCCTTAGTTCAGTTTATATCATATTTAGATTTTTTTTTTTTTTTAATTTATTTGACAGAGATCACAAGTAGGCAGAGAGGCAGGCAGAAAAAGAGGCAGAAAGAGGCTGAGCAGAGAGCCCAATGTGGGGCTCAATCCCAGGATCCTGGGATCATGACCTGGGCTGAAGGCAGAGGCTTAACCCACTGAGCCACCCAGGCACCCCTCATATTTAGATTTTATCAAAATCACAAAATTTTTAAAAAATGGTGAACCAATGGTTGTTTTGTGTCTCCTCTTAAGTATTTTTTTCTTAAAGTGGTTATTTTTTTCAATCTGTTTTATACAGTGATTCCTACTTAAAATTTCTTTAAATCTGTATAAGATGTGTTGCTCTTCATTCTCATTTTGTGCAAATGTTTTTGATACTTCAAGTAAAATCAGATTGACATTCATTTGGAAAATATTATTAAGCTAATCTTTTATCTGAGAAAAATATTAATTTTATCATTTAATTAGAAATATTTCTATGTGATTGTATATAAGTATCTTTTTTAAGGCTTACACCATTTTATTTTGCCTTTTCTAATTCAGACAATAAAGACATTCGTTTATCATTTTAGCTCCTGAATATATGACACTGTATTGGACACCAGATTACAGTGGGCTTTCTATATTGAATCTACTTCAAAAAAAACATACACTTGGGCCAGGCTGGTAGGAGTAGGGTGTGAGAAGCTCCCAAAACACTGTTGTCATGGACAGGGCAAATCTATTCTTCCAGTTGCTCAGGCCAGAAAACTTGTTCATTGATGCCTCTTCTGTCCTCACCTCCCACATTGAATCCATCAACAAATATTACTTGGATTTCAAAATATATCCGTAACTACCACTTCCTACTACTTTCATTATTATCATATTAGTCTGGACTGCAGTAGCCTCCTTACTGGCCTCCCTGTTTCTACCCTCGCCCTCAACAGTCCATTCTCACAGCAAAGTAATTCTTCTAAAGCACAAGTCATTTCATTGCCAGCCATCTGCTCAGAACTGTTGGCTTCTCCTCTAATTTAGTAATAATCCAGGTTCTTAATCCATAAGGCCCTCAGTGATCTGGCTCCCCTAACATTTATCTGGCCTTATGTCCTTCCCCTCATTCCTTACTTTTCAGCAACCCTGACCTTCTCACTGACTCTCAAACTGGCCAGGGCTTTGCCACTTGTTGTTCTCTGTTCTTCCTCATGATATCTGGGTGGCTTACTTCCTTACCTGTTTCAGGTCTTTGTTCAAATGACTCTTCATCAAAGATGCCTTTCCTGACTATTCTATAAAATAGGGTCCCCACTTGCCACTGGGTATTTGCCTGTTTCCATAGCTTATTTCCATTTATTTATTGGCATCTGATATATGTTTGTTTAATTGGTGTCTCTCTTTTCTTACTAGAATATAAACGCCATAGTCTTGCTCATTTGTGGTCACTGCTAAGTTCTCAATACCTAGAATACACAGTGAAGATCTGTTAAGTTAATATTGCATGAATAAATGCAAGATAACTTTGAAGTTACTACTTCAGTGACCGGAAAAAGTCAGGGGGTGTAGGGGGCAAGGAGCCCGGGAATTTCCCATTTTAAATATGTTATGTTTGAGGTAACAGTGGACTATTTTTAGCATTAATGTCTGACAGGTAGCTGGAAATGTAGAACTGGAATTGGGGTGTTGAGGTTAAGAGCACTGAATTGAACTTGGACAGTTAGGGATTTCAAATTCTGCTCTGCCACTTACTGACTATATACCGTTGGACCAGTTATCCAACTTCTCCAGACTTCAGTTGCTGTAAAATGTGAGCAGTAATACCTATCTCCAAAGGTTAGCAAGAGGATAAAGTGAGACAAGGTTACATGGAGGCTATTGTTCTTACTTGGAAGCCTGTCTGAGGTGATAACTGAAGCCATGGGAATATAAGCTTACTTGAGAAGCATACAGAAAAGAACCGTCCACAATTGTTTCTGAGGGTGGGAGAATGAAGAGGAATTACACCACAGAAACTGGCAAACACTACAACTCAGGGGCCTTTTTTTTTTTTTTTTTTGAGGCCTGTAGTTAAACATTCACTTGCACACCAGTTGCACTTGACTAGTTAGCAGTGACCAGGCAATAATAGGGTACCCTTTCCAAGTTGTGGGCAAGAAAGTTCTTTAAGAAGGGGGTGTGCATGAAGTGGAAAGGATCAGGAGGGGAGGCAGAGTAGAAAGTACTGAAGAAGTTTCTAGGAGACCACCAACAGTGCTGGAATTCAGAGAGGTCAAGTAAAGTAGGACTGAGAGCAGACATGCTGTTGTAGTTGATTAGGTTGTTAACAATCTTTGTAAATAGTGTTTTTAGAGCAGTGAAAGTTGGAATAGGTTACGAAGAATTGAGGAGAAAAGCATTGAGAATTGGAGTTGTAGATTGCAAGCAGAACAACTAGAAGGTAGAGGTGAGGAGAGTTTAGGAGGCTTATGCCTGTTTCAAGGTAAGGGAAGGAGACACAGAAGACAGAGATGGAAGATTGATAGAGATGATGATGGGGGCAGCAGAATCTGGAGAAAAGAGCATAGTGGAAAGTGTTATTCTGGGAAAGAAATGGTTCAGGGCTCTTGGAAGAAAGAAAGGAGAAATGAAACAGGGAAAAATGAAACCAGTGAGTTCCCCTTCTCCCCAAGTGTCTGCATTTATTAAGTCTTTCTTTACTCTTTGTAAACTCTTTGAATGAACAACTGAAAGGTCCAGGTCTTTTGTGGCCCAGGAGCGGAGACCAACTCTCAGCCCATTGTGCTATGGAAAAGTTAACACATAAGCCTTAATCCAGTGGCGTGAACTGAAGAGGTTGATTACACACACCTCTGTTGTGTATTTTTTAAATATAGTTAAATGTGTTAAATATAGGCATGATTGCATTTATTCAAATCTGTGTAACTTCCTATATGTTATTAAAGCTAATAGTTTACCATACTGATTTTATTGCAGAAAAATACCCTTACAAAGCTGAAAATGACTCAATGATTGCCACTTTATCCTTTAGCAATTTCAGCAGTTATTTTGTTTTTTCAGTGGCTTTTTGTTTGTTTTGTCTTACCTGATTAACTTTATTCCATTGCAGGAAACTGTTGGAAAGTTTTTCCAAGTAGACATTGCAGAAAATGCTTTGGTAGGTACCCGTATAACAGTCATGATTTCTGATCTCTTTGTTTTATTTTTAGTTTTTTATTTTTATTTCCTTCAAAATGAAAATGGTTTTTTTTCCCCCTGATTATATACAGTACATATAAAGAATTAGACAATACAGGAAATGTAAAGGGGAAAGAAAATATCATCCCTGGTTCCACCATTCAGGGGCAACCACGGGTGACATTTTGATCTCCACCTTTGCAGATGTATAACTGTCTCCCAACATATAATTTTATACAGGTAGTATAATGGTAACATGCCATGTTTTTCACAGGGTATCATTCTTTTATATCAGCAAATGATACATATACACCCAAATTCCACCTTTTTAAATGGCTATATAGTATTCAATATAAGAATATTCCATGGTTTATTTAGCTAAATTTCTATTGAATGGCAGCTATATTTCTGTTTTCTTAATAACCAATACTGTAAAGAACATCCTTATATAAAGCAACTTGGTACATTTGATTTCTTTTTCTCCATGGAAATAAATTCCTAGTAGTAGAATTTACGGATTCATTGATGTTCATCTTTAAATTTTTGATATATATCAGACTGTCATTAGAGAGAAAGAATAAAGGGTTTTAGGATTGAGCCCAGCATCTGGCTCCCTGCTCAGCAGGAAGCCTGCTTCTCCCTCTCCTGCTCCCTGTGCTTGTGTTCCCTCCCTCGAACGCTTTCTCTCTTTCTGTCAAATAAATAAATAATCTTAAAAAAAAAAAAAAAAAAAAAAGAGGGGCACCTGGGTGGCTCAGTGGTTTAAAGCCTCTGCCTTCGGCTCAGGTCATGATCCCAGGGTCCTGGGATCGAGCCCCGCACTGGGCTCTCTGCTTGGCAGGCAGCCTGCTTCCTCCTCTGTCCCTGCCTGCTTCTCTGCCTACTTGTGATCTCTGTCTGTCAAATAAATTAAAAAAAAAAAAAAGATATATTTAAAAAAAAAAAAAGAAATACTTCTTGAGCTTCTTTGTGGCTCTTTTTTTTTTTTTTTTGGAAGGAATAGGAACTGCCAAGTAAATATGACATTGACTTAAATTTAACAATGATTGCATCAGTAACTGAGATTCTATATGAATGTATTTTGAATTTTTATTTTTTAACCACTAGAAAAATATCTTAGAAATGGAAATTCCTACTGTCAACATTTTAGCCGATGAAGAGTTCCTTCCCTTCAGAGAAAATACATTTGACTTGGTGGTTAGCAGTTTAAGGTTGGTAATCCATTTGTACTTCTTAAAAATGTATGTTATAAATAAATAATTTATGATGTACAGTTTTAATATTATGGGGTAAAGAAAAAATAATGAAGTAAATTCTTAATAATTTTTTTTAAGTCACAAACCAGTTTTCTTATGTTATAAACTATAAGATTTCTCTGGCAAAGAATAATGAATTATATGCTCCCTAGTGGAGTTGATACAGTATAGTACCTTAACTTTTTTCTCCACAACTTTTTTTCAATTTGCTAAAGCTTATCTGTGATAGAAGAGTTTCTTCCCCAGAATACATAACTTAGTATGTGTATTGATGGAGGCAGGATTTGGGAAGAGTATATTGGCTCCAGCATTCAAATATTAGAGCAGTCTTAGAAACTCATCTCGGCCAATAAGGAAAAGCTAGTGTTTCCTTCAACTTCAATTTTTCTTCCAGACAGAAATATAGTCCTTAAGATTATGTTTTCCCATTTGTGCTTCCTACCGTGTCCCCTCCACATTGGTTACACAAACATATAAATATGTTACACAAACATATAAATAATTATTGAATAGATTGTAATATGTGAGGCTCTGAGCTTGATGCTTTGGGGAAATACACAAATGAGTCCGGACAGAGATCCTGTCCTCAAACAACTCAGCAGTAATAGTTTGTGTGTAACTTTATTTCCCCTATTTTATTTTATAGTCAGATTTTCTTACAAAAATTCAACATGCTCTGCATGTCAGCACAGCCCTTTATTTTTATTTTTATTTTTTTTTTTTTGGTCAGAGAGAGCGAGCGAGCGAGCACAGGCAGACAGAGAGGCAGGGAGAGTCAGAGGGAGAAGCAGGCTCCCTGCTGAGCAAGGAGCCCGATGTGGGACTCGATCCCAGGACGCTGGGACCATGACCTGAACTGAAGGCAGCTGCTTAACCAACTGAGCCATCCAGGCGTCCCAGCACAGCCCTTTTGATAGCGGTCAACCACCAGTCACTGTGGTTCACCTAAAACTTTGGCAGTGTTAGCACTGAAAGGCCTATCTCCCAGGAACCACTCATTCCCAGACAGACTGGGAGAGTCGTACTCTAGCTTTTTCTTCAGTGAGTTTGTAATTTCTTCCATGCTTTTTAAGGTATGCTAAGCAAATTTAGAAAAGTACATTCTATCATGAAATGAAAAACATTATAGAGAATGTTGGTCTAAGGGAAAGAGCCCTGGGCGGGGAGTAAGAATGAGTTTTAGCTCTTCTGCTTGCTTTTTGCAAGTACCTAATTCTGTTGCTTTCAGTTTCCCCATAAGTATGATAGAGCTTATGATATGACCTTCTTCATTTTTAAACTATCTAATAATTACTAGAAAGCATTATGAAAGATAAATGTGATCTTAACATAGTATGGTTTGAAATGGGTATTCAGTGCTATCCTGGAAGTCAGTATAAGAGGATGCCACTTCTGTCAGGAAGGTATGACCATACTTTACAGAGACTGTGATTCTTGCCATCACATATCACCACACACTGGTAGGGGGTGAATAGAGGCAAAATAAAATGCAAGAAATTTACTATATTAAGTTCTAAATGCTTTGTAGTGTTTATAGTACTGTCACATTTTCTAGTGTGACAGAAGGAAGGTTTTCCCCTGGGAATATTTTTTACTTTAAAACTTGTATGAGGGGCACCTGGGTGGCTCAGTGGGTTAAAGCCTCTGCCTTGGGCTCAGGTCATGATCTCAGGGTCCTGGGATCGAGCCCCACATTGGGCTCTCTGCTCAGCAGGGAGCCTGCTTCATCCTCTCTCTCTCTGCCTGTCTCTCTGCCTACTTGTGATCTCTGTCTGTCAAATAAGTAAATAAAAATCTTAAAAATAAAATAAAAAAAAACTTGTATGAAAACAATCAGTGAATTTTGATATGCAACTTCACACTTCAAAATTAATATCTTTTTGTTGGCTTTTATTTATAGGAGTGATAATTATACCAATTAATTACATGAATTAAGCTAAAAGCAATATGTTATTAATATTCTAGTTTACACTGGGTGAATGACCTTCCTAGAGCACTTGAACAGGTAAGAAACTTAATGTTGATTCTAATAGCCTGTGTTATTTTATTAGTAGAAACTTCTAAATATTTCTACTTTTTACCAGAAACTTCAGATATTTTCCATTTTATACTTTTGACAGTTGGAAATGGAACCAAATCAGATATTTATTATCTTCTGTGGGCCAGATATAGTTGGTGCCCTGTGGCATATTAAGAAGTACATTGAGTGACTCCCTTGTCTAGGAATTCAAGAAATCTGATTATGGAGATGTTTCAAATATTTATGAAAAGTCATACAAAATAACTTGGACAAAATAATATTGACATCACATTGATATAAGACATTTCCTATGTGGGTCCCTTTTCTTAATTGCCTATAAGTTTTGTGTGGGGAGGATACTATTTCTTCATATTTGTGTCTTCCCTGCACCTTATAATTAGTGTGAGGTATATTTGTTGGTTGACATTTATCAGTGAACTGGTGAAGAGTAAGTAAAAAGCATTGTGTTCAGAAGAGGGAAGGGGATCACTGTGACTTGGAGTGGCCTCGGAAAACTTCAAAAAGCAGAAAGTACTTGAGCAGGGCCTTTGAGGATAGGTCAGATTTGGGGCAGGAAGGCAGAATCACAGGTAGGTAGGTGGGAGGTAAAAGAGATTCAGGAGCATGAGGGACAGAGAGGAATCCTGTTAGGAGATTAATATACTAGGAGATAGGGCATATTGGGACCAGATTTAGGAAGACTTGGGTAACAGATTAAGGAATTTTGAGTTCATTCTTTATGCAATTCAGAGCTGCTGGAGAATTTTGAAGAGTTAATCTTCAAATCTTCACTTAATCATAAAGTGATATGATTAAAAGGCTGGTAGGCAGGATAACTACCACATCTTAAGCACATACTGTTTGCCAATTGCTGTGCCCTGTTTTATATGTGCATTAAATAAATAACTCTGTAGGATGTCTTCATTTTGCTACTTGGAAAACTTATGCCAGAAGTTTTGGTTCAATTAAAGAGACTGTTTCCATGGTCCAGACATGAGAGAAACTAAAGCTAGGTGGCAGTGGCAGGAATTAACAGGAAGAGAGGGTATTCAGTTTGGTGGCTGGTTGGATCTGAAGATCAAAGACAGGGAGGGGTCCAAGCTCACCTTAAAGTTGAGTCTGGATGCCTGAAAGAGTAATTAGTAAAAACAGAGGAAAGAATGGTAATGATCAGATAAAGGGAATGGAAAATGGTAACTGACAGAAATACAGCAACTGGAGAGGGGAGTGGGTTTGAGAATTAAGTGTTGTGTGTGTGTGTTGGTTGTGTTGGGAGGGTGATTTTGCCAAGATACAAATGGCCATGGCACAGGCAAATGAAAATGAGTTTAGAGTTCTGGGAAGATGTCCAGACTAAGATAGTGATTGGAAGTCATCCTTATGAAATCCACGGGAATTGATAAGCCCCTCTGAGGTAGAAAGAAGCTGCAGAGAGCTGAGGACTGAATCTTACGTCCCTGCTATATTATAGTTTGGGGATAAGAGAAGGAAGCCAAGAGGTGGAAGGGAAGAAAGCAAAGATTTTACGGTTGGTTTGCTTATACACTGTTTTGAAATTGCTTCATAAATTTAAATATAAATTTTAAGATGGATACTTCGATGAGAGAGCCTACTACGATTTGGGGTTTACTTCAGAATCTGCCTTTTCCTGTAACGTTCCTCATTGTTGAGAATAGTCCATCAAATCTAGTTACAGATGGTAGTTCTAAGAGAGTCAGTGAGTAAACATTTATGATTCTGGAAGCCATTACAGCCACTATTTTGCTTGAGTTATCAATTAAAAATTGCTTTTGTTTGAAAGTTGGAAATAAGTTCCTTAAAGGAAACTAATGTTTGAGTGAGTTAATGTGACTCATAATAATTTCTGTATAAATTAGCTTATTCTGCTAAAAAGCGACCCCAGCTTAACAATTTCAAACAACAGTTTACTTAGCTCAGGATTTTGTGGATGGGGTGGGAATTCATGTTGGCATTAGTTAGGAAATCCTTCTGGGTTTGGCTTGGCTCATGAAGCCAGTATCTGTGATCTGTTGCTAGATCAGAGCTGGCCTCTCGAGAGTGGCATTAGCTGGGATGTCTCAGAGATCTCTGCTCATACCTCTCAGCCCTCACCAGGCTAGCTCAGGCTTGTTCACAGCATGGTGGCAGCACAGGGAATCAGGTAAGGCCATTTCGAACTTTGGTGTGACCCTGGCACACTGCCACTTGCACTGCATTCTTTTGGCTGCAGCAAGTCACAAGGCTGTCCCAGATTCAGGGAGAGGGGACATAGCTTCATTTTCTGATGGAGTTGTTTGATGGGAGTGATATGTAAAGGGCACAGTAGAGGTTTGTGATTTTTGCAATCTACCACACTTTTAAATTTTTTTCTTTCAGTATTTTCTCATTATAAAAGTAATTTTTGTCTATTATTAGAAGAGTTGAAAACACTCAATATATTTTAGAGGTATTAATGCTATCAATGAATTATTGCCTATCTTTGTACTATTACACTGCAGTTCCTTTCTGACATTTGGTTGCCCTAGGTGTTATTTATTTTCTCATTATTTGACAAAATAAGAATGGTAATTGTAAAATATTAATTTAGCGAATGTTCTTTTAACGTTTTTTCCTTCTAACATTTTTAATACAAGATTCTAACTACTTTTGTTGTCTTGTATTTATTACAGATTCATTACGTTTTAAAACCAGATGGAGTATTTATTGGTGCAATGTTTGGAGGTGACACACTCTATGAACTTCGATGTTCACTACAGTTGGCAGAAACAGAAAGGGAAGGAGGATTTTCTCCACATGTTTCTCCTTTCACTGCTGTCAGTGACTTAGGACATCTGCTTGGGAGAGCTGGCTTTAATACACTGACTGTGGTAACTATCAAGAGAGTTGATTAATTCTCATTAACCCATTAATCACACAGTTCAGAAACAACTTCTCATTTTAAAGTAAAAATATGTAGGTATTGATGGTATCGTAGAGAGGTTTTTGCACTTTTTCTCTCTTTAAATTTAGTTTGTATAAACACGTCTTGATTGATAAAGGTAGGAAAGTGAAACTTTTAGTATTTGGTGTCTGAAAATGTAGCTCAAAAAATCCAAACCTCAGTTAACAAGGAAATTGTTTTCTAAGACTTACTATTCCATTAGAATCTTTAAAACCAAAGTTGCACGTAATATGAGACAGCATTTCAGATGATGGAGAAAAGGAGATGTGCAGGAGCATTTACAGCTCTACCTCTACCACCAGCCCTTAACTGAAATGAGGCAGAAATGAAGGTATGTGCATTTTCGGTCAACAGTAGAAAATCAACAGTAGATGGTAGGGGAAAAAAAAAATGGTAGGAAAGAGGGCTATACTCCATTAGGGCTAGAGAGATCTGGAAAGAGGACCTATAGGCTATCAGAAGAAACATGGAGTCAGCATGGTACAGTGATGGTATGGGGCATAGATGTCTGACAGGTATAATTTGGTTCCTTATCTTGTCCCTTTACTAGCTAGGGAAATTTGGGAGATTTAATTCACTTCTTTGAGCATTCTTTTTTTTTTTTTTTTTAAGAGAGTCAAATGTTTCTCACCTCAGGTGGCAATTAGAATTAAGGTAAAGGATGTGAAATACCTGGACCATGGTAGATGCTCAATTAATATTGCTCCTGCCTTCCTCTCTCCCCCTCCTCATACATCTAGTACTTTGCCATCCAAGGCTTCCAACAGGGAGTTATCTGGAGAGACAGTTGCCCCCTTCCAGCTCCTTTCACTGGCATAGTCACTCTAAAGGATAGTCACTCTGCCTTCAGAGGTCAGTTGAGTAGACTTGCTATGATTTCCAAACCCCTCAGGTTTAAACACATCTCTATTTTGGAGGAAATGGGAATTTACTGACGAAGAAAGCTTCTCATTGATGATAGGCTTAAGACTGAAATAACCATTTAAGGAGATTCAATATGAATATATTTCATAAAATCAACCAACCAAGAAAAGGTTGTCCTGTCCTTCCTTGTTTGGGTAGAAAGCACAGAGCATAAACCATAGACCAGTAGGGTCTCTGAAGTTGGAAAGGGGCCTCAAGAAGGGAGGAGACAGTAGGCTAGGAAATGATAGCAACCCTCAAGATTTCACAGCTGTGTCTTTTGTAAACTGCTAATGACCTGAGTCAGCAGACAACAGTCAGCTGTTGGCAGCTGGAAAGGGGAAAGCTCTGCCTCATGTGAGGGTTCTGCTTTGTAATTAAAGCAAACACTGGCAAGCACAGGCAGTTGTACAAGAGGGATCACTGTGTATTTTTCAACACTTTTTAATTATATAAACAATAACACAAACATATTTTGTAAACATTAAACTGTACATATAAAGTGGCAGTTTGTTATTTGCCTTTAATCCCCGCAAATCTTAGCTCTCTCCTTTAAGAAACAGTTCTCAAAATTTTGCTTTTAGGACCATGCTACACACTAAAAATTATTGGGACCTTAGAGATCTTTAGTTATGTGGGTTATATCTATCAATATTAACCAAATTAGAAATTAAAACTGAATTTTAGTATTTACTAATATGTTTAAAACTAACATAGTGTACCTATTATGTGTTAACATAAAAAAACTATGAAAGAAACTATTTTCCAAAAGAAAAATTTAGAAGAATGTCATTGCTTTACATTTTTACAAATTTCTTAAATGTATGACATAATAAAAGTGCTAAATTCTCATCCTTCTTCTGCAGTCATAAGACTATTAAAGTATCACATCACATAACTTATGAAAAATCCGTTGTACTCATGAGAGATTGAGAGGTGAAAAAGCCAAATAGCATCTTAGTATTATTATAAGAATAGTTTTGGAGAGGGGAAGAATAGTTTTAACTTTTGACTTTGTGGACCCCCGAAGGTGTGCCTTCTTGCAGTTTCCTATGTTGTAAAGTGGACTGTGCATTTTAGAAAAATTTCTGCTGGAGCCCTGGGTGGCTCCGTCAGTTAAGCGTTCAACTTAATCTTGCGGTCGTGAGATTGGGCTCTGTGCTCAGTGCAGAGTCTGCGAGATTCTCTCCCCTGCCCCACCCGACTAGCACACGCATGCTCCATAGATAAATAAATAAAATTTTAAAATTTTCTACTAAAAATGTTTAACCTAACATAGCACTTAAAATACTACATTTCTGTTAGTTGGGAAATCTATTGAAATACCTTCTGTATTCTTCTCTAAAAAATGAGCTGAATAACTCAATAAGATAATACAAAAATATTGGTGTAGAATCTTCTTTGTGGTTTATAAAATTTAAGAGAGTTGCAAATTTAATAATAAATATATACATATTTGTTCCTTGGTACATTTACACTGTGTCTAATATGTTGTATTAACATTATATCATAGTTCATTGTCTAAAATATCTCATCCCAAACAGCTAATAAAATCCGTTACACAGGTTTATGGTGCATACAACATTAGGTATATCATTTTTATACTGCAGTGGGTTTTTTTATTTTTAACATGAATTCAAGATTTGCCTGTTTACATTTATGTGACTTTCATAATGAATTATTTTCAGAGTTAGTGGGCATTCTGAATGAGGCTCATTTCCTTTTAGAATAGAGTTGCCAGACTAATATATTAGGAGGAAACAGCAGATATGGTCCATCTTAATTTGAATAAGGACTTTGACAAAGCAATTGTAGTATTCTTTGGATTGAGATGGAGCTAGTGCTTTTAGTTTCATTGAAAGATTGTTTTTGACGGATCTTGCTTAATGGCTACATTTCAGGCTGGAAGGAATTTTGTTTTTAATCTTATGATTTTTTTTTTTAAGACTTTTTTTAGTTATTAGACAGAGATCACAGTTAGGCGGAGAGACAGGCAAAGAGGAGGAAGTAGGCTCCCCGCTGAGCAAAGAGCCAGATATGGGGCTCAATCCCAGAACCCTGGGATCATGACCTGAGCTGAAGGCAGGTTTTAACCCACTGAGCCACCCAGGTACCCCGATCTTATGATTTCTTATTAAAAAATAGTTTCCTAAGGTAGAAAAACATAGAGAAGAAAGTGACTACCCAGAGATGGTCTTATTAAAAAGTGCACATACAACATTGCCATGCATGTGTTAACAAGAAAAGAAATTTTTTTAAAATGTGTAGATAAAATGAGATAAACAGAGCAGGTCTAAAGTAAAAGAAGTCTCCTCCTCCTGACTTCTGATACCTGGACCCTCGCCCCAAAGATGACCATTGTTGTGTGTATATCCTTTCAGAACAATTTTTCATTACACACTGCTATACAGTTATGTCATTTAAACATATATTTACAACAATATGTATACTTGGTTGCTTTTTTTTCTATAAGTACTCTTAGGTTTCTTTTTAGTTAATAGCATATTTTTTTTTCTAAGATTTTATTTATTTATTTGACAGAGAGAGGAGCAGAGAGAGAGGAGAAGCAGACTCCCCACTGAGCAGGGAGCACGATATAGGGCTCGACCCCAGAACCCTGGGATCATGACATGAGCCAAAGACAGTCGCTTCACTGATTGAGCCACCCATGTGCCCTAGTTAAATAGCATATCTTGGAGATCTCCCCCTACACATACCTATTTCTCCATTAATGGACATTTAGATTATTTACAGCTAGTTTTTTGGTTTCTCGTTGTTGTTTTGTTGCTATTTCATTTCTAATTCAATGCAGTGAATTTCCTTTCACATAATTTTGGCATATCTGTCAGGTCAATTTCTAGCAATGGAATTGCTGGGTCAAAGAAGCTCTACACTGAAATTTTGACAGATAGGGTCAGATGACTTTCCAAATGTAGCATCAATTTATATGCCCCATCAACAATATAAGAATCAGGGAGCCTGACGCAGGACTCGATCCTGGGACCCTGGGATCGTGACCTGAGCCGAAGGCAGACACTTAACTGACTAAGCCACCCAGGC